ATAATAATAATAATAATAATAATAACATATTATTATTATTTAAAAATTTAAAAATTAAGATGTTTTAACTGTTAAAATATAAAGAACAATAATAAAAGTATTAAAATATTTTTAATAAATTAATACATAAACAAGATATATTAAGGATATTTGAGTAATGTTACAAAAAAATTAAACATTTAATTAAAATATTAAGACATCTTAATTCTTACTTTTTTTATTTATATACCTTTTCAATTTTTTTTTTTTTTTTGAGTAAGCTATCTTTTTCATATTTTGATATATATGATAATCTTAACCACCATTAAAAGTGGATAAAATATTCATCAATTAATTAGTCATTGATTTATGTTTTTTTTTTTTTTATCTTATCTTATGATTGGTTATATGTAGGCCATCAACATCCCTTCTCAAATCTCTGGCAATTTCAAATTTTAAATTTCATTTAATAATTCTTGTCAGCACTTTATCTTTTAATTTTTATAATAAATATAAAATATATAAAATATATTTTTAATATATTAAAAAAACTAAAAAACTTACCATTATAGTTACAAATTAATATTACCAAACTAAATCTTTAAACTCAAAACTTTTATAATATAAAGATTCAAATTTTTTAGCTTCTAAACGACGTCATTGATGATCTATGGTTATGGACCATGAATGCTAAAGCCCAAAAGGCTTCAGATCTCGGCAAAAACCTGGTTTTAGTCCTTCATTTTACCAAGTTTGAAGGTTTTAGTCCCTCACATTATATTATGACATTTTTAACCCCTTATCTTACATATTTGTAAGTGTTAGTCCCTCACCTATTAAAATCGAAGAAAATAGCCCTCACTTTATATTGACTATTAACTCTGTTAACTGAAAGTATATTTCTGTCAATTAATAGTCAGTTAACAGAATTAACGAAATATTATAAAATTAGTTCTGTTAACTTTGTTAACTGATAAAAAATCTGTAAGCTGAAAGAAATTTTTTATCAGCTAGCAGTTAACTAACAATCAGATAATAAAATTAACAATCAGTTAACATAACTAATAAAATGTTACAAAATGAGAATTATTTTCTTCAATTTTAATAAGTAAGGGGCTAAAAGTGTCATAATATAAGATAAGAAGTTAAAATCTATAAATATAATAAAATAAAGGGTTAAAACCTACAAATATAGTAAGATAATGGATTAAAAGTATTATAATATAAAGTGAGAAATTAAAACCTTCAAACTTAATAAGGTGAGGGGCTAAAACTAGGTTTTTGCCTCATATCTCACCTCAAATGTTAAAAAATTCAAACAATAAAAGGATAGGCGAAAATGATTGACAATATATAGATCATAAAAATGACTTGTTTTCCTATTGATGGTATAAAACTACAGGCAAATATGTCTATACCACCCCCATCCCCCCACAAA